ACAAAATCTGCAACTAGACACAGAAGAATGGGAGTTCTTTGTCATTTCTGAGAATGGTGACAGGCAGTGAGGACACACTTTTTTAAAATCTTGAATATTCTAATCCTAAAATAAGTACACAAGTAGGCAGGTGCAGAGACTTGTCACAATTCTGTGGCCTGGATGAAATTATGCACGATGGCCTTCGGTGTTTCTGAGCCATGCTCTCTTTGTTTTGTCCTCACAGAGCTCTTCAGGAGTGATGCTTTTTCTGATAACAATTGAGCATGGAAGCGGCAATCTTATTAAACAATTATAATCCAATGAGCTAGTGAAAAGCTGCTCAACATCAGTAGCCATCAAGGGAAATGTAGGTCAAAACCACAGTGGATGTCCCCTTTTTCCCTCTAGGAAAGACAGATGGTTAAGTGTTGGTCAGGATGTGGAGAAATTGGAACCCACACACGGGTAGGAACCCACCTTGCAGGTAGGAATGTAAAATGACACAGCTTCTTTGGAAAACAGTTGGGCCATTCCTCAAATGGTTAAACAGTTGCCACATGATCCAACAACTCTCCAAGAGAAGTAAAAACATGTGAACACAAACACTTGTACAAGAATGTTTACAATTGGGGGCCTCCCTGGTGGCACAAGGGGTTAAGACGCAACCTATGAAGCTCACCACAGCCACCACAGCACAAGTTAGATCCCGGGCCAGGAGGTGACCCACATGGCACAGCAGACCTCTCCTGGCTCGCCCGCTGCTCCCCTCATCAGTGTGTTTCGGTCCATCTGCCTGTTCTGTTTCCTGCTTTGTCTCTGGTGAATCCTCTCACCCCCCAAAACTCTGGCCTGTACCCCAGTTCTTATATTCATAAATAAATAAATCTTTGAAAAAAATGTTCACGATACTGGAAAATTGGAAACAACTCAAATGTTCAATTAACTGATAAGTGCTAAATGTGTTTTATCCTTGAAATGGAATAGTAGACAACCATAAAAAAAGAATGAAGTACTGGCAAATTCTACAACATGGATAATCCTGGAGAGCATAACGCTAAGTGAAAGGAGCCAGATAAAATATACATAAAATGTCTAGAATAGTCTATTTCATAAAGACAGAGTAAATTAGTGATTGTCCAAGATTGGAGAGGTGAGGGGTCTGTCTAGAAGGTGACAGATAAGGGGTGCATGTTTCTTTTTGGGGTGATGAAGATGTACTAAAATTGAATGATAATAACTGCATGACTCTGAATTGAGCAACTGGACTATCTACACTTTAAGTAGGTGAGTTGTATGGTATATGAGTTATATTTCAATAAAAACTTTTGAAAATGTCATTCTCTTTTGCTATTTACCAACCCCACCTGGCCCAAAATGCCCCAGTATTTAACACCAGACTTCACCTCTTAACAGAAACATTGTATAGATAAACCAGAAAAATATAGCAAACTCTTCCCTGGATGTTGGTGCCTTGATAAGCCGTGACTTTCCTGATGCTCCACTGACACCAGTTCATATCCTGTGTGGCATCCTGGGCAGCACCGACCCCTCCACCTGTAGCAGAATATCTAGGTGTTTGCTGAAATGGCTGCATTGTATATGTGCGTGTGTGTACGTGTGTGTGTGTGTGTGTGTGTGTGTGTGTGTGTGTGTACAAGTGACAGGTAATTTTGAAAGGGAAGATGGAAAAGAGAACTATAACAAAATCTCTAAATGTATTCTCAGGCAGATCAACTTCAGAATAGAAATTGGAAACCTGGAAAGTGATTGTTAAAACCATGCATCTCTGCAAAAATATGAAAAAAAAAAAAAAACTAGACATGTCTCAATTTCTTTTGGAAAGACTTCACATCCCCCAGTTTGAAGACCTGAGTTGTAGCTCAAAAGCTTTGTCTTTCGAGACTATAATCTCTGCAGTGAATTGGTAGAGCTTCCTGAGCAGCAAAAGCCAAGAATCCGAGTCTCATTTCACATTCAGCTGTGCAGGGTTCAAGGTGATAAACCCCACATGCTTCAGCCTTGTGAGGCAATTTTAATGTGAGACAAGGGGGGTGGGCTTAAGAGTGAGGAAAGGAGGAAGAGGGAGGGAGGGAGGAAAGGAAGGAAGGAGATTGGTTGATAGATCAAATTATGATCCCACCATATCAAAGAGCTCCTTTTTCAGCCAACACCCAGGAGATTCTGGTTCAGATGGAGCGGGCAATGGTGTCCGTGCCTGTGAAGAAGAATGACTGGGGAAAATGATCAAGAGGACAATGCTGGCAGGAGGCATGGTGGGAACAGAAGCCAGGCTGAGTGGATGAGATATTGATCTGGAAGTGAGAGATGGAGCCGCTGTACATGAACAACATTTAGGAAGGTCAACTGAATAAACAGAAGCCAACAGGAGGTGGGTCTTAGAGCCTAAGCTAGGAGGACCCTAAGAAATTGTGAGGGGACAGAATGGAGAGATAGGGCAAGATTCACTTTGAATCATGGAAGGACACCTCTTCCTCTGAGGTGAAGAAGCAGAAGCACTGGAGAGATTTTTTTGGCCAATATGACATTATGGAACTCGGCTCACCTGACCTTTCTCTAGTGATCTGGTGACAAAAGGAGAAGTAAGTTGGCTGAGAAAGAGGAGAAGGGAAGAGCAAGGCCCCAGGACACTCGAGAGGACTGGAGAACAGCTGTGGGAAGGGTGGCAGGAGTGACAGATGAGGGGAGCACTGGGCTTGGTGGATCTGGCAGGTGTGTATGTGTGTGCATGTGTGTGTGCATGTGTGCGCACATGCATGCATGCACACACGAACTGATGGATGAGAAAATAAGTAAATTCGTAATGAATGAGAATTATATATGGCTATATGGCTTTCAAGGAGTTGTCTGGTTTCTTCTAAAGCGCTTGGATCTGGCAGACCCTGGTCTCCCAGCTTGGGGATGGCAGTGAGCTCATCAGAGGTGAGGACTGTCCAGGGTTGAAGAAGTGAGAGATATGGAGAAGGGGTCAGCTATGAAGTATCTAGGTCTTGGCCTGCAAAGAGGAAAGGAAGGTCTGTGAAGAGGGGCTGGTTTTGAAGAGAAAGGTCACCCAAGGGAGAGGTAGGAAGAGGATGCTGAGCAAGTTGAGCAGTACTGAGTAGGAAAGAAGGGGATAGAGCAGATGTGAACCATGAGACTGTCCAAAGTATCCAGTGTTGGGCCTCCCTGGAAGCCTAGGGGTTAAGTCTCAGCACTATCACAGCCAAGGCCTCAGTTCCATCCCTGGCCAGGTAGCTGACCCACATGACATAACAGACCTCTCCTGTCTCGCCCGCTGCTCCTCTTAGCAGTGTATTTCAGTAGGTCTGCCTGATATACTCTCCACTCTGTCTCTGATGAATCCTCTCACCTCTGCATCTCTGGCCTACACCCCAGTTCTTTATGCATAAATAAATAAACCTTTTTAAAAAATGGAAGTCTTCAGCCTTGTCTGTACAGAAGCCGCTAACCCATGGGGGCTCACGTATAAGGCCAGGCCAAAGTGAGGGGTGTTCTAAGTGTAAAATACACACCAGATTCCAAACACTTAGTATTTTAAGAGAAGGATGTTGAATTTCTCATTAATAAGGGTTAACACTGTTTAAATGATGGTATTTCAGATATATTGGGTTTAAATGCAAAATAACATTAATTTCACTTGTTTTTTGCTTTTTTAACATGGCTACTAGAAAAAGTACACATGTGTCTTGCTTTCCATTGCTGTTGCCTGGCACTGGTGGAGCTGCTCCCTCCTGGCTGCATGGTTGTGTCATATCTGTGGCCCAGCACCCAGGAAAGGGATCTGGCACAGAGAAGCCTCAGGGAATGGTGTGTGTGCATGTGTGCGTGTGTGCACATGCCTGCGTGCACGTACGAACTGATGGATGAGAAAATAAGTAAATCCGTAATGAATGAGAATTATATGTGTCTGTATGGCTTTCAAGGAGTTGTCTGCTTTCTTCTAAATTATTGGGGATTACAGGTGAGCACAGAGACAAATGAAAAGAAAACAGAGGTGGTTAGAATGGAGGAAAGCTAGAAAAAATAGGGGGAAAAAAAGCAAATAAAAAAGAATGGAGGAAAGCTCATTAAGGCTTGAGATAGAGTCTTAAAGATCACTTTATGGGACCTAACTTACTACAAGGGCTCAGAGACCTGGACCCTTGCCTCTTCCGTCTTCATTTTCCTTTTTAAAAGTAATTCTACTGTACTTGACTCTAAACTGGGGATGTTTCTAGGCATTTTACATGTATTAAACTCATTTAAACTTCACATCCACCTGGTGGTAGGCACTCTTATTATCCCCTAGGGCTTAGAGGTGTTAAGTAACTCACCCAGGATCACCCAGTGAGTGATGGAACAGGTACTCAACCCAGCCATCCGGCCTAGCATGCACACCTCTAGCCAGGGCACCATCCCTGAGCATTCATCTGGTCTTCTCTAACTTCTCTTTAAGCAGCGAAGCAGGTTTCTCTTTTCCCCTTTACTGACATCTCTTCTAGTCCCTCAGAACTTGTACTCCTGGAGAAACTTCTCAATGAGCCTTGCTTACTAGAAACCTTGCTCACAAGAACCCCCCAACCTCTCCACAAATGAAACACAAATACAACAGCCAAGTCACCCCTCTGCTGCCACCCCTGAGCTTTCCCACGCCACTTCTCCCTCCTCGGCCCAGGAGGCTTAGACCTGAGATGGGCACTCCCCTGCCTTCCTGGGATACCTTGAGGGACATGCATGTTGGAGGAGCATGAGGCTTCACAACTTCAAGATAGCAGATGCCTGCAAAACAGACCCCCAGGCATAGAACAGGGAACTTCCCAGGCATCACCTTGGCAGGGGCTGGGAGCTGCCTCAATCCCACCCACCAGGGACTCCATTCCAGCCTCTGTGTGGGTCCCTCCATGGTAGAGTGGCCCTGAATTTCCACTCACTGGGGGCAGCCCTAGCTCAGATCACCACCTTCAGGAGCAAACAAACTTGAAAACTAAGAAGGAACCAAAAGCCCATCTTCCTCTCTTTCTCTTGCTCTCATTAAATTATGAATAATAATGCATTTACTTATTCTCCCAATTAAAAAGTTGTTTAAATCCTTTGAAGAATCTTGCAAGGCAGCTTGGCTAGACAGCAGGCAGGACAGTCCAGCGCCTCTGGCGGGGGGGCCAGGGTCTTCCACTCGCCTGTCTTTTGGTCCAGCAAGTAGGCATTTGGGTTGATGGTGTAGTCCTTGGTCTGGACATCACTGGCTGTGGTGACACCCCCACATACAAACACCCTGTTGTCACCAATGGAGCATATAGCATGAGACACATCTAAGGGACAGTTATTGGGCAAAAGAGGCACTGAGGTGGTCGTCTTGTTGGCCTTTATCTTTTGCAGATTGATCTCCACACTCTGCCGGTGGCTGCATATGCAGAGGATGTTGTCCTCATGGAACGAGAGCAGGGGGCGGTGGTTGAACTCAATAGGGAAGGTGATACACTGGACCACATCCCCAGTGGTGGTGTCAAAGCAGTCCACCACCCCGACCCGGGAGATGTAGCCCTTCACCAAGCACCGCCCAGTGACAATGTACAGGTTCCGGTCACCCTTGGTAATCACGGCTGTGCCGTCCATGGGGATGCTCATCTTCCCCGCCAGGCACCAGGCCTCCTTGCGCTCATCATAGCGGTAGATGTTGGAGACATACCGTCTTGGGGCGATGCTCCCCCCGACTGAGTACACTGTCCCTCCGCAGGTCACCATGGTGTGGAAAACAAGCCCAATCGGCAGGTCAGGCAACTTGGTCCAGGAGTTGTCATCCATGTCATACCGCCAAGCTGTCTTCAGCCCTGAAATCTGTTCTGTGGTGCCCCCCGAGATGTAGATGTAGCGACCAGCAGCGGTGGCACTGAGTGCTGCTGCACGGTAGGGCATCTCTGAGAGCTTCAGCCACAGATTCTCCTGGATGATATACGCAAACACTCCATCGTTGAACTTGCCGTGGGCCTTCTGGCCACCTAGGATGACCACCGAATCCAGCAGGGCTCCCTTTCGCTGGTAGCCCAGCAAGCTGGTCGGCCGCTCCTGCTTGCGATCCATCAGGACACTCTCAATCAGGGTGGCGTGCGACGAGCTGTTCTCCATCCCCATCAGCTTGTTGCTGGCAAACATCAGCGTCTTGTTGGAGACAGCATTCAAATTGATGTAATTGAAGAACTTCTTGAAGTACTTCTCCCGCTCATCCTTCCGGAAGTACACCCAACTGATGAGTGCACTGAGAGCCTGGTCCTCGTTGAGCACGTGCAAGTTCTCATCCCGGAGCAGGCGGCCGAAGATGACAGGTGGACAGCGCATGAAGTGCATGGAGCCCTCAGGACTGGCCCAGTAGTGGAAATTGTCGCGAATGCCCGAGTAAGCCAAGTCTGACACCTCTTTGAGCTCAAACAACTCAGCTAAGAAGAGGTAGCGCAAGCAGTTGGCACGGCGAATGGACTTAATCAGGAAGTCATTGCAGTGGATTCGGAGGCGGGGTGTGTTGAAATACTGAGCCCCACGAAGGAGCTCCTCCACATTCTGCTCTGAGATCACCACCTTACCACTGTAGAAGTAGTCCAGGAGCTGGTCCACTGTGGTTGGGCTCAGGTAATTGGGGTCAATGGTGATGAAGAGCTCATCGGTGGTCTTCAGGTCGTTGCTGGAGACGAGGCTCTTCACCAGCGGAGAGACGGCAGCCAGCACGTTGCGATGAGCAAAGAAGGCATGGTGGTCCACAGTCAGGGCCATGTCCCAGTACTCTTTGCGTTTCCTCTGTTTGTTCAGGTTCTGCAGCATGAAGCTGTTGTAGTTTTTCTCAGTGAATTCCAATTTCATGGTGCTTGTTGCTGGCTGAGGCAGATCAGCTGCAGTTACTGGAGAACAGACTTTCTCAGGCCTTTGGGATTCAGATTGATGGTTGTTTGCAAAGCAGTTGATCAGGGAGGATGGGGCGTGAAAGGGGATGATGTCATAGAATAGATGAGATCATCACAATGCAGGACCACCCTCCCCCCCACCCGGACCTCATTCAGTGGCATGGCGCCTTTCTCCCCTCAGATGGCTTGAAACTGCTAAGGCCATATACCCTACAAGGACCTAGTACCTAGGTCCCAGACTTCAGGAGGAGAAGGAGAAGAGTTACAACTCCCTGTGGGACTTTCAGGCCTCAGTTCAAAACTGTTTCTGGAATGTCAGAGCCAAATTGGTTGGCGGTGTGTGAGGGGTGGAGGTTGCTGTGTGTATAGGGGAGATAAGGGAAGTAAGAAGAGACTCCTCCCATTGTACAAGAGGGAAAGTGAGGGCCAGAGAAGAGAAGGGATTTGCCCAACATCACATGGCCAGTTAGATGCAGTTCAGGACCTGGAACCCAAGTATTCTGTAACTTAGAGGTCTGTCTATCTCCCAGAATCTCCTAACTACTCAACTTACCACAGTCTCTGGTTCTCAGGCCTTAAGGCACCTTCTGCCAAGGCTCCTGGCCATCGGGAGGAAAGCTCTGTGCTTTGACTTTTGACCTATGTGGCCATGGACACCATTCTTCTTCAAAATACAGAGAAGGATGCAAGCGTTGGCCAGGCAGTGGGAAATGAGAGGGCCTCTGAAGCCTTGATTATTTAAGTTCCAAACCCGTCCAACGGGGGCGCTCGCTCCACATTTTTTAAGATGTAAAATGTTGGGAGCTGTGCTGGGTCAGCTCTCTTCAATCAACACGTGTGTGCTTGGACAAGTTGCTCAGACTCCCAACCTCAGTTTCCTCATTTGTGAAGTGGAAAAATAACACCTGCTTCAAAGACTACTAAGAAGAGTTCAAATGAGAAAATGGTGGGCATAGTGTTTGGCTCATAGCAAATATCCAGTAAATGCCAGCTGCCGTTGCTTTATTAATTCCACATCAGTTGGCCGAGCGCGGGCGTTCTCTGCTGCCTCCCTCAGACCCTTGGGCGGTGGCCCTGGGAGGCTGGGAATCCCCTGCCCGCTCGGCGGGCTCAGAACCTCCTCCCGCCACGCGGTGGCGCAGCGGAGTCGCCTCCCGCGGGGAGCCGGGGGTGGACGCGCCGGGCCCCCGCCCCGCCCCGCCCAGTCTCCAGGCCGGAGCCCCGCGGTGCCCGGTTCCTCCGGAGCTGAGGCGCCCTCGCGGGTCGGTCCACGGCGACCCTGGAATTCACAAGGGAGGGTCTCCTACGATCACACACACACACACACACACATCTGCCCCCACTTTACAGATGGGGGGACTGAGCCCCAGACGCAGTGCGCACAGCCTGGCCGCCAGCGAGGAGAGGTCTCAGACTCGGGGCGTCACCCTTCGGTGCCGGGGAGCGGGGAGCTCAGATTCCAGCTCACAGATTCCGCTGCCACTCCCCTCATCCCCCGGGGCATGGGGCTCTCCAGTGCTGGGGCGCCTGTGGAGCTACTGCCTGCACCAAGTTGGGGGATAAGGACCAGATGGAGCACTTCACGGAGTGGGGGCGGGGCGACGGAGGGCTGGGGGGAGCGACTCCTGCGGATGACCCATAGCTCAGCAATCCCACAGAACCAGCCTTTGGGGGTTCCCAAAATGGGAATTAACCCACAGGCCAGGGTGTTGGCGAGATAGCGAGGAGAGGCCTGGCCCTGGTCGCCTCCAGCCTGGTGCTTGGCCCCACTCCTGACTCCGGGGTGTCCTTGTTGCGGGGAAAGGATGTCCTGAACAAAGATATCCAGGACACCAAAATCCCATAATGTCATCACCACCGAAGGGAGGGTTGCTGGGACCTGAGGGTGGAGTTAAGCAGCCAGGTTTGGTATATAACCACAACTGTGGGCCCTGGGGGTCTCTTGGCCTCACAGCTCTTGGTTTTTCGCCAGCTCTCAGAGTGCTGTTGGGATTCCAGCTCAGCAGAACTAAGGCATTCACAAATTTATCTCCCTCTCTTTCTTCCTGATTACTCATTTCTTCATTTCCCCTTCTTTTGTAAATAAACCCTTTATGACCCTTTTTCTGCGTGCCTGCAGTTGAGTATTATTATAAATCCCTTGTAATTGTGCAGGTGAGGGCCCACAGTCAGGCAATCCATTTCACATCAGGGTTGCCCTGTAACATCCTTAGCACCCCTACCAGGGAAACTCAGTGTCACCTGGAGCCTGGCCTTCTGGCTTAGCCATCCCTGACTCAGACAAGTTTTTTGAGGTTCCCCCAAAAGGTCGGACCTTTTGGGGGCATTTTGGTGGAAGAGGTGGCTGTGCCCCCTTTGCTTTTATTTCAGGACCCAGAACACCAAAGCTTTTCTCATCAGACGCTTTCCCTGAGGAAAGTTGGGCCCAGGGCTGTCCCAGAATTTTGAGGGGGTCCAATAGACTAAGTTCCACGTGTCAGACCTTGTACAGCTGGTCAAATTGGGGTACAGAGAAGAGGATGGGCTTGATTGACTCAGAGTGTGCAGAGTCAGGGCTCAGATCCAGAGGTCTTGACCCCTTCCTCCTCCCTGGGCCTGCAAAGGACTGGCAGTCTGGCTGTCCTCTTCTCTTGTTGAACTTATGGGGTTACTGTCTTTAAGAAATGCTTTGAAGAAGTGAGATTAGTGCCCACCTGCCCGGCCTATTTTGTTTTCTGGCTTTTCCTCAGTCTGGAAAATTCTTCTGGCCAACTTTTTTTTTTTTTATTGGAGACCAGAAAAGCAGATTTATTAAATACCCTGCAAAGGAGCAGGGCGCCATATGAGAAATGTCATCTGCACATGAAGAAGGGCTTGAGCCTCTTTTATACTTTCTCAGGAGGTCAGTTTGCACCAGTTAGTCATTTGCTGGGATGTCTGTTCTTGGACCTTTTGTTGTAGAGCAACCCCGATACAAAACGGGGTGCCTGACTGTGGGTCCTCACCCACGTGCTTAAAAGGACTTATCAATGCTCTACTGCAGGCACACGTGAAAAGTTAATAAAAGGTTTATTTACAAGGGAAGGGGAAATGAGGAAATGTACAGCTCAAGGAGAAAAGTGGGAGACAAAGTTTTAAATGAGTCCTACCTGATCCACTGATCAGGAATCCCAAATGGCGCTCTGAGAGCTGGCTGCAAGCCAGGAGCTGTGTAGCCAGGAGGCAAGTGACAGCGAGCCAGCCCAAGGCCCACGTGTTTGGTTTTTATACCCAACCTGGCTGCTTAACTCCACCCTCAGGTCCCAGCCACCCTCCCTTTGGTGGTGATGGGATTTGTCTTTCCCAATGTCTTGATGGCTTTAGTCTGGAGTGGGGGTGGAGTCCACAAAGCCTGTATGGGATCAGCTCAGGGCATCATTTCCCCCTAACACTTTGACACAGAATGTGTTCTGAATCTGCTTCTGCATTCCTGGAACTCTGCTGGTCAAGGTCAAGGTGATCGGTCTTTTGGCCTGGTTCCCATGGCAACCTTATTGCTTTCCTTTATCTATTGGAAACTCCCAAATTTGCCTCCTGGCCAAGGAGTCTGTAAGTGAGATGAAACTAAACAAAAAGGCTAACAATAAAGGGTCTTAAAAAGACCCAACTGAAGGAATTTTTGTAAAGGAGACTGCAGTTCCCTTTGGGCTGCTGGCTTGAGGGGACATTGTGGCTTCCCAGGAAAGACTTGAAGCTATTTAATTGCGCCCCAAAAGGGGCAGCAAAAATAGCTCAGCCTGGGAGTTTAGTGTCCCAGGCAAGAAAGGTGGATATAAAAACCTCTGAAATTTTCACAGGCCCAAATTCAGGAGTTTTTTCAACCAGCCAATGAGCATCCTTTACAGCCTACTAATAACTCCAAAGTAACTTAATCATTTTTACCTTAAGCAGAGTCTGAAAGTGGCCCTTTTCAAGACTAGGAAAACAGGGAAAATACAAGTTCCTGCCTGTGAAACAGACCTGAACCATATCTCAAGGTGGACAAAATGTGGAGTCCAGCCCTCCACAGCTGGAAATCAGCAGACATACCAATGATCTCAGCTTTTTCTTACACCAGTCAATTGAGGAAACAGACTCCAGCCTAAAGAGGGTGGCTGTGTGCCAGCGTCCTCCACCTAGTTATGCCTGTGTGTGTGTTTGCAGGGGAGTGTGGCAGGGAGTGGAGGGTGCTGTGTCCTCAGGAACCACCGGGAAGTTCTTTGGTCATTGAGTTCCTATTGCTCACGGTGGCTACCCAGTGTGACCTCAGCCCAAGCTGCTGAGCCAGGTCTCTTTAATCCACCCATCCTCAGTGTCCTACCCAGCTTAGCATTTTCTGTTCATGGAGACTCCCTGAGGGAGGGTACCCTAATATCCTAACCTCTGGGGACCATCAGTTTTCATTTTACTGAGAAACCCTGAAGAAAATAAGCATCAAGATATAGTGATTTGTCTGGAAATCAGAAAGCCAGGAGCAGTCTTTTTGCATCCCAGTCTCCTTTGTATCTCTAACAACTAACTTCCTCACTTCTGTATAGTTCATATTCGTAACTGGGCTTGCAGAGCTTTTCAGTACCATGGCCCACATTCAAACTCATACCATGCTAATTTTTTCAATTCCGTTGGTAAATTCTCACCATATTTCTTAGCTCAAATTTCTGGTTCACACAGGCAGAGGGATTGGCTGCCCTTGATCACGGATCCATTCTAGTCCAAGCAGCTGGGCGGTGGCCGGTCACATTGCTTAAAATATGGCCTCCTAAGCATAGTCCACAGGGGAGATATTGGAGGTATTCAGGGGCTTGAGCTACCTGAGACAGGAACTCAGAGTTGTGGGTTACCTTAATTACCAATGAAGAATCAGGTGTGAATCGCATGGGAGGAAGATATTACACAAAAGAAAAAAAAAAGCTTTATTGTCATCTTAGCCAATATCCCTGGGCAAGATGAGGGCACAGCGCGAGACTGTGTTCACAGTGCGGCAGAGACCTCCAGGAAGCATGCTTCGGGGACTGGCTGCTCAGATTGCTGCCTCAAAGCCAGCAGTCTGGAGTCCCCCTGCCAGCTTACCACCTGGAGATGCCTGGACTCAGGGAGACTCTGCTTGGCAGCGGGCTGGCCCTTCCCACACAGACCATGTGATATATGTTGTTACTCAGATGAACTTTGAGATATTTGAGGCAAAAGAGAACCAAATTAGTACCTCTAAGCCCCTGCCTGGGTACCTCCCTGGAACATTTGGGCCTGTCACACATTCCAGGAGGGAGCAGCAGCACAGCTGCAGTCACAGCTGCCAGAAACAGGCCTGGGCTAAGGCCTGTGGGGGGAAGGGGCAGAGGCTGGAGGGCTTCCTCTGGGGGCCCTGAGTGAGCTCACCCTCACCCCCATGCTCACTGAATTCATGCATCCCAGGCGGCTTGGCTAAGAGCCCAGGCTTGAGGGGCTCTCCCAGAACAGTCCCTGGGCCACCTCCAGCGGTGGGGGAGGGTGAGTTCCAGGCCTAGCCCAGTTCTCCAGAAACCAGAGGGGGGTGGGGGAAGCACATGAAATGCCAGAGGATTTTGAGGGGAAAGAAGAGGAGGTGTGATGGGATGATGGGTGGTGGTAGTACTTTGCCACTTCAAGGTAGAAAAATGCAAGGAAGTAAAGTTTTTATCTGTTTTCTGGCAATCCCAGTGCAGAATTCCAGGAGGCGCAAGGATGACATCATGTCTTACAACTGGAAATCTTGATAATTCTGTGAAATGGAGCCTCTGCCTGCCCAACCTTTCTGATGGAAGCGGCTTTATATTTATGTGTTTAACACTATAGTTTTTATCACCTTTAAATGAGGGCTTGACAGCTACCAAATGTAGATTACCAAGCATGAAGATCACGTAAAATGAACTTCACTTCAAACATCTGGTATACAAAAAGTCCATGGATAGTATTAGAAAGTTACAAAAGAAAATTCTTAAAAAATAACGAAAAAGGTTTAAAAATTGATCCCCCATCCCCCAAGTCCAAATAATAGTGGTCTAGGTAACCATCAAGGTAAATGCTTCATATATTCATTCCTTTGGTAGGAATGAGTTGGTGTGGAACTGTATATTCAAGTGTGTGTGCAAGGACACTCTCAGGCAAACTACACCCAGGGGGGCAGACACACAGCTGAGTTTTTGTTGTTCAAGGCACTTCATATCCACATTCTAAAGTCTGCCACCTTCCCAGTACATCTGACAATTTACTTCTTTGGAGGCAGGACATTTTCTTCAAAGAAGCCTGGGTTGACGACATTCCCTGCTGGAAAGTATCTGGCCACCACGAAGGAGGACCCATCGCTGGCAGATGCCTTCCCCACTCCCATTTTCTTCGTGTTTTTCCAAACCATGGCTGTGAAGTGTCCTGCAGTGGGGTGGGCAGGGAAGAGGGAAACAGGTTAGTTAGCAGAAGGATGTTTCAAGGGAATCTTGAGAGCCTTCACCATCCTACCAGAGCTTGATCTTCACAGACACCAGTCAGAGGAAGGAGACATAAGACACCTAAGTGCCTGATTTTTCTGAAGTCATTCAGCCCTTACTCAGGTCGGCACTTTTTCTTCTTTTTTTTTTTTTTTTAAAGATTTATTTTATTTTAATTACTTATGCATACAAGAACTGGAGTGTAGGCCAGAAGTGTGGGGAGGGGGGTGGGGTTAGTGAGAGGATTCACCAGAGACAGAGTGGGGAACAGAACAGGAAGACTGACTGAAATACACTGCTGAGGGGAGCAGCGGGCAAGACAGGAGAGGTCTGCTGGGCCATATGGGTCAGCTCCCTAGTCGGGGATCCAACCTGTGCCTCAGTGGCTTGATAGCACTGAGACTTAACCCCTTGGGTCACCAGGGAGGCCCTTAGCACTTCTTGATGCCGAAAGGTTTCATGGTCTCTCATGATGACAAATGTGTGCAAACCCAGACAATTAGGAGGCCACCCTTTCTAGCACCTGGCTCCAACCCATCTCTCCAAACTGCACATTCTTCAAGGTCACCAACCATCTCCATGTTCCTCCTCAGTGGTCACTTTTTGTCTTCATCTTACTTGACATCTCAGGATCACTTAATAAATAGTGTTGACTCCTTCCCTTTCCAAAGTAGTCTCCTCTTTCAGTTTCTATGATGCCACCCAGTCTCGAATTCTCCCTATCTGCTGCCTCTTCTTCCTCCTCTTCCATCTCACTTCTCACTGGTAAATGGTGGAGGACCTGCATTTCTCAAGACTCGATCCTGGACTCTCTTTTCTTGTTGTACTCTTTAGACAGTTTCAACTCTCCCTGGCTCCCAACTTTATTTCTCCAGCCCAAAGCGATCCTCTGTGCTGCAGACACTCCTACTTATTTGACATTCCTACTTGAACTTCTCACAAGCATCTCAAATGTAACCATCCAAGCCTCACTCTTGATTTTAGTCCCCCATGTCCTGAGTTATCCTTCTCCCCACCCTCCCATTTCCATGAGTGGTACCTCTATATATCTGATTTGAGGGCTTGCTCTGCCTTCCTCCCTCTCCCTCATTTCCCCACAACAACTTTTTCTTCATTCTGGAAGAATCTAACTCTAAAATGTATCTCAAGTCTGCCCACTCCCAAAATCTTGGTTCCAACCAGAATCTATTCTCATTCAGAGCACTATAATAGCCCTCAATGGTTTTCCAGTGCCCACCTTTGCCGCTTCCAATTCACTTTCTACTTAAGTAGCCAAAGTGATAGTTTTGAGGTATAAAATCTGTTTATTCCTCTGCTTAAAAATCCTGCCATCGGGGGCCTCCCTGGTGCCCAGGGGTTAAGTCTCAGCTCTACCACCATGAAGGCTTGAGTTCGATCCTGGCCAGGGAGTTAACACACATACGGCACAGCAGACCTCTCCTGTCTCACCTGTTGCTCCCCTCAGCAAAGGATTTCAGTAGATCTGACTGTTCTGCTCCCCACTCTGTCTCTGGTGAATCCCCACACACACCCCTACCTCTGGCATATACCCCAGTTCTTCTATGCAAAAATAAATAAAATCTTTTTTTAAAATCTCTCATTTTTGTGGTTTTTTTACATCATTATTCAGTTTTAAACAATATTTGCTTCCCCCCCTCAGGTGTAGTCCCCATAGAGTTTCCTTCCCCAAGGCACCCGCGCACCATCACCTCAGTCCCCTGTGCTCCTCCCTCCTCCCCTCTCACCCCTCTCCCTCCTCCTCCCCTGCAGGATGTCTCTGATTCATAATTGTCCATTTTTGCTTTGTTGTGTTTTGTACTGTTATTATTTTTTTACACTGATGTCTTATTTCGTTCCCCTATATTCCTGATATAAGTGAAACCATGCGATATTTTTCTTTTTCCTTCTGGCTTATTTCACTGAGCATAATTCCTTCTAGCTTCATCCACGTTGCTGCGAATGGCTTGAGTTTATCTTTTTGTGATTGCTGAATAATATTCCATTGTGTATATATGCCTGCCATCAATTCCAACTGCACCGAGAATAAAAGTGAATGCTTCAGCCCAATGGCCTCCTTTCATTCCCTGAACACACTGGTCACTTCCCACCATGGAGCACTTGCACATGCCGGTCACTGTGCCAGATGCTCTTCTGATGACCAACGTCATCTTGTCCCTGAGGCTGCAGTCTAATGTCACTTGTTCAGAGAAGTCTTTCATACTCACTCTTTCATCTCCTGAGCACCTCCCTCCCAATATAGTCTCATCTACTTGTTCCTGTCACTCCCTCCTCCCCCAGCAGTCTTACCATGTGCAGTGTCTATTTGTCCAAGCATTTGCTAATTGCTTGGCTCTTTCAACAGGTAATGAGCCCCACCTGGGCAGTGACCAAATTGTTTTATTCCCCCAAAGTATGCCTATGATCTTCACATAGTCCAGCATGTGAAAGTGCCAAATAAACTTTTGTCAAATGAATGGAATGAATGAATGCAAGGCATGTGGAAGAACCATCTCGGACTCTGATTCTTCCCTCATTGGAAGCATAGCCCTTCTATGTTTTGAGCTTTTGAGACCTTGACAAATTAGAACATCCTTCATTCTCTCTGTTCTAAGCCAAACAGCCCAGTCCCTTCTCAAGCTACTGCCTGACCCTCTAGACACTTCTTGGGCTGGTGAGGCTCCTCAGCATCAGTATCCCACAGCTCAGCTGCCTCTTCCTCCCTCCAGGGTCTTTCTAGTTGCTAATGCAGCTTAGCCTCCATCTCCTCCCTACACTCCATTTTGGGCACAGTCTATGCAAGACGACAGATTCCAAAAGTCCCACACCACCAAACCAAGTTTCAGCCTCTTCCAGAAAGGGACCCTTCAAACAGCCAATAAGAAGTCACCTGGTCAGTACCAGCGAGGTCATCTGCCTGCCAGGTCCTGCCACTCCCTCAAGGAAACTGACCTGCTGCAGCCAGTTCAGGTTTCGCTACTTTAACTTACTGGTTCCTGCTCACTTCTGCCTATAAAAGTCATTTCGAAGGGCTCCACTGAGCTCCTTTCTATTTGAGTCTATCCCAGAGTCAGGGATGCTGCCTGATTCATGGATCATGGAATAAAGTCAGTAAGATCTTTTAAGACTTACTCAGTGTAGGGTAAATGGAAGTGATCAGGTTTTTTCCACCATTCCACCAATTAGCATCAGTGATCGACACCAGTGGTCTCACACGCGTGCCTGATGGCAGCACTTGGAGTATGGCGTGGGCATGTGTAAGTGGGGACACCTGAGTGGGGAGGCTGAGCTTATGAGGGTGGTGGCAGCATAGGACGGGAGGCACAGAGCAGTAGAGACCAGAGAAGAGACCACGAGAGGACGTCAGAGAGCCCAGAATGAGTGAAGACTAGGCAGGGGCCAGGAGAACTGCCAGCCTCCTGGCCCTCAGACCCCCATGCGGGCCCTGCACCTGGTCGCCTCACTACAAATGGTGTAGAAAGATCATTAAAACCCTCAAAAAGCCACTGAGGGTTCCAGGACGCTCCTTTACCCATCTGCCCACATCACAGAAAACCTGCTCTGTGCCTTGCTGGTGCTACACTCAGCTACACTATGGTTTTCAAAACACTCTTTGCTCAATGACCATAATAAATTCTTCTGGGCCTCCCCTGGTGGTGCAGGTGGTTGAGCGCAGCGCTGTGAAGCTGTCTGCAGCCTCTGCAGCACCGGTGCAATCCGGGCTGGCTGACGAGGATCCCACATGGCCCAGCAGACCTCTCCTGTCATGTCCACTGCTCCCCTCAGCAGTGTATTTCGTCAGTCTGCCTGCTCTGTTGTCTCTGGTGAATCCTCTCACCTTCCCAAGCATCTGGCCTGCACCCCAGTTCTTGTATAAATAAATAAATAAATAAATCTTTTTTAAAAAATAAAATAAATTCTTCTTATCTCTTAGAAGTAGAAGTCAGAGTTGAGTACTCAACCACCAACAGCCTTTAACAGGTCCAAGGGATATTTGCTTCCTTGTCACAGGATGGCATTCATTTGCTAAATGAACCCTGAAGAGATCATAGTTTCTCCTCATGGGCAAGTCATGAGCACTACATCCCCAGTAGTTAACACTGGGCCTGGCACATAGTAGATGCTCAATAAATAGCTGATGGAGAAAGGAGGGAGGAGAAAAACCATGATCAGAGTAACTACACTCTCCATAGGGTGGTTAAGAAAGAAAGAGGGCAACCATTTTACTCTCAGTAGGATGGACATTAATTAAAAAAAAAATCAAACAAGCAGAAAATAACAAGTTGTAGGAGAAATGAGTTAAAAACCAGGCTTTTTCCACCCTCTTCCATTAGCATCTATAACTGGCACTTGTGCTCTTGCATGCACACCTGTAATTATATGAAGCAGGGACACATGTGCTGAGAGGTGAGGGGCTATAAGGGTGTCAATCCCTCTGAGACGGAAGGGCGAGGAGGCAGCCAGAGAAATACTGAGAGAGAAAGCTGGTCTGGCCACTGATTCAGCATTAAAGGCCTGTACGTCTACTAAAGGCTCCAAAATTATCTTTTTGTCTGCAAAAGCCAACAATGAACCTACCTGGCCTAGAATGGTTGCAAAACAAAGCACTGGTTAAGTTTTGGAGAAACTGAGATCCTGTACCTTGCTGATGGGAATGCAAAATGGTACAGCCACTGTGGAAGACAATATGGCCATTTCTCAAAGTATTAAATGTAGATTCACCATATGATCCAATAATTCTAGAAAGACCCCTCCCCGAAAGATTTGAAAGCAGGGACTCAGACATGTACACTTGTGTTCACAGCTGCATTATTTACAAAAGCCAAAAGGGGGAAAAAAAAACAATGTTCATCCACAGGCGAACAGAGAAACACTCATGTACCCACTGTGGAATATTATCTAGCCTTAAAAAGGAATGAAGTTCTGGGGCCTCCCTGGTGGCGCAGG